CCCTTGACCGGAATCGAAGAACCTGGGACCTTTCAGTCCGAAGGCCGACGCTCTATCCACTGAGCCAAACCGGTTTTGGCTATAATAATCTTGAGCATAAACACCTTTGCTTGTCTTACTGACTGCTGTACCCCTAGCACTTACAACAGTGCTTGGCATATGTGAAGAATAGAGAGAAAAGCCTTTAAAATAAGTTCTTCCAGTTCTGTTTTTTTCAACTCTTCAACTAGGTTTTAATAAAATGTGTTTTATTTTTGCAATAGAATTGAACCATCTATTAAAAAGGCATCAATTGATTAAAAAAATACATCTTAGTTGCACTGGGCTCATTCTCTCCTCATAGAAAATTATATTAAATCTTCGGCAGAGTCATTATCCCTTAATATTTTCATATACCAGTATAGTATGGATTTGTTCATAATACTGTTGTGTAGGGAATACACACTTATTTTCAAATATATCCTGACATGGTGAGGATATATTTAATAAATCCAGGGATTGCTGCATAGATTCTGTGTGTGTGTTTTTTTTTGTTTTTTTGTTTTTTTTGAGAGAGGAGAGGGTAAAGGAATTTGTAGAATGGAAAGGTATTTCAGGGAGCAAGAGAGTCATAGGAAAACATGAAGGCTTTATCTGGTTCTTTCTAAAAGTGGACTATACATTTATTCTCTCCTCTTTTGGGGGCACCTCCTTAATGAATGAATGTAATCTGGCGGAATTGAAGACTTTTAATTTCAGGTGCAGAGAGAAAACTTGAGCTTATGAAAGTGTCCTGTTTCATGGTGGTTTGTTCAAGCCAGTGCGGCAAAATCTTCAGTTGTGGGTCATCTGTCGCTTGGTCTCAAGGGAGCAGCATGGATTAAACTGACAACTGAGGTGAATTAAGGGCAAAGCAGATGTCCTTAAGTCCCCCGCGGACCATTTCTAAAATACATTATCTTTGAAAACATACAACATCTGTTACAGGGAGAAAAGGAAGATTCCGTGCCTCAGGCCGGTGTCTTCGGCAGGGATGTGAGGACTTGCTCAAAAGTCCCAAGTATACAACCAGCGCCCCCAGCTATAAAGCTAGGTTCACAGGCAACCAGTTTTTCAGGCAGCTGCCACCCCTTTCTTTCCTCTTCGTGCTTCGTCCATCATGGTTTTAAACAAAACGGCTTTGTATGTGGAGTAATGGTTGAACTAACTCCGGCGCTTTGGCACAGACAACTGCGCGGGTACTGGGAATACAAAACCCGCAGTCTGAAGACAGAGGTTGTGGCTTGAGAAAAACCAAAGGCAGAGAGGGGGAGAGAGGGAGGGAGAAGCAACGCTGCTGAGTCGGTGGTGCATTCTGGGAGTTGTAGTCCATGTGGGACAGCTTTCTCAAGCCTCCACGGGGCTCTGGACTCCAATTCCCAGCCGCCCCTGCGCCACGGAGGAGGCCAGGGGTGGGGACTACGGGGGTTGAGCTGCCGCAGGGGGAGGGGGCCTGGGGCTGAGAAGCAGCTGTTAGCGGCTGCCAGGAGACGTTATCGGCCGTTCGTTAGGGCCGAGGAAACCATCGGGAGGGCGGCGACCAGGGCCGTGTGATCGCCACGCGTCCCTGTGCCTGTCCTCTCCTTCCACGGGCGCGTGGGGTCCGCCATGGAAGCGCATCCGGTCGCCGCCGGGGTCTC